TCATAATAAAAACGTTTATGAAATTTTAAATCTTTCTTGTTCAATAAAACGTTTTTAACCATTTTAAACTGTTTTTTTCCATTTTTGTCCCTGCAATAAGAAACAAAAATACCTTATATGTTTAAACTTGTCATGACACGTGCCATTCATTGAGCTTCCTGCGGAATAAACCATTTTTACGTTTTCGCATTACGTTCTCATTTCGTGTTTGTTCCATACAAAATGTTATACAAGGAAACGTCCCAAACATTTTAAAAACGTTATTTTTAATAACGTTTCCGAGCAATGGTTTGTAAATTTTGTTCACAGTTTTCATCACATGCACAAAACGTTGCAACAAACTGCTACCACGTGTTCCGTAAGTGCTTTTAGTCTGAGCCAACTTCTTCGCAAATTTCAGCCAATAACTTATTTTAGCAAGGATTTACTCACAAAAAGTAATGCAAAAGCCTTATGAGATTTATAATTTGTTTTGCACGTGACTGTACTACAAGATATTCCAAGCCATCGTCTCACGTGCAAGGGTTGCACAACACCTCGCCTACGATAAATGGAAACCAATTACATAAACTACAATGCCCCACCCCCACCCTTAATTAATATTAACTACAGAGTGACGCCCCTAACAGTTGGCGGATAGAATCATTGAGGGAACGTTGAAGGTGCATCAGACAGCGATGAAAACAAACACGTGTGACACACTGCAACATTGGAAGCCGAGCAAGTCCGGCTGGCTTATTTATTGTTGGTAGTGGGTAATGCAAGTTTACCACAACGTTAAAAAACAACGTTCTCTCCGTGCTTTGCATTTGAAAAATTATGAGACAGAAGTAAATTATTAGATATTATAATTTGTGTGTGTTTTATATATACCGCCTTACTCATGAAATACGACTGCAATTAAAGAAATGCTTAAAGTTGCTCTGTCTCTCTCTCTCTCTTTTCACTAAATGACAATAGAAACAGATAGATATAGAGATACTTAATCTAAATAAGCGAAAATCAACAATTATAAGTAGGGCCGATTATTTCTTACTGCTGTATCTACCAACTTTGACAGAGGCAACCGAAGTGTCCTCGTATACCTGTGTCTATTTATTATATCATGAAATTTTTCTATAAAATTTGTTTTAATAATCGCTTAAAAGCTGTCATAATTTATATGATCTTAAATTTTTTTTTATTTAGTCCAACCATGTAGTGGTGGTGTAAGAATATCTACTATCTCATATCATACTATGGACGTCAAAGAGACTGCCAGCAGTCTTCTTAATAACAAAAAAATGTTTTTGTCATCCTGCTCGCCAAGCGTAGTAACTAAGGCAAGTGTCACCCGTATCATATGTTCAGCAGTGGGTTTTCAATAAGATAACGGTAACAGTTAACTTTTATTTATAAAATAAAATGATCCATGAATTATTTGTAAATGTTCTCGGCTGTATATTTCTAATATGGTAAAAAGATAGGAGGGCGCATTGTAATCGGAATACCTTTGTTACGTGCATCGACATTTGTCGGACGACGTTTCGATTGGTTTCGCGAACAAAACTCGTTTTGTGCACCGATTTATTAATGCCAGTAAACAATGGACGTTCGAAACGCTCCCCGTTCATTATCGACAGGTACTGCACTAAAATCAAACATCTGTGCGTAGGCGGACTCAATATCTTTAAAGGTTAAGCAATATTTCGATCAAATACAATCAATTATTATTGTTAGAAATTTGGGAACATTTATCGTTTATATAATGATTGGTTTTTATATTAAAAAGTAATAAAATTGTAGGTACTATAAAGTTTGTATTGTAGTTGTAGAAAAAATTGTACTAAAAATTTCATTCGGTCCTTATATTTTTTCTGTTATGCGCTCTTTTTAGTTAAATTTTGTTAAGTATAATATTGTAAATATCTTCTCTATCTCTTTTTTTTTCTTATTCAAATTAGATTTTTAAAGAGTGTCTAGAAGAAATCGCAATAAGACTCTACTTTTTTTCTTCTTTAATAGCCCCTTCAAGTCCACAGCTGGGCAGGAGTATCTCGTCTTGGCAGCCCCTTTAGCGACATTAAGTTTGATGATGATTTTAACACTTTCACTGTCCGGTTTGCAGACACAATAGTAAGACAATAGTAATGACCTATATATAGTGCACGGGACAGCAAAAGGGTTAAGTTACAGCCAGTAGAGAACCGGAGACCCTTTTTACTGGAAAAGAGGCATTCCACCTTCGTCCTCACGGGTGACAACGCATCTGCATTTTGATTCTTTATTGAGGATAGATGTGGATGTCTATGGGTCACAGCAACCACTTACCATCAGGTGGACTGTGTGCTCGTTTGTCACCCTATCCTATAAAAAAAAGAAATAAGTCTACTGCGTTGCTCGAGTGTATGTTGGCAAACTTCAGTTTTCCTTGAAATATTTTATACCTCATACATGCTAGTTTCCTTATGATGTAAATCACCATTTTTTTTCTTTTTTTTTTTAAACAACGTTACCCCCACACTAGGATTTTCTCCTGTATCGTGGAGGCAGTTTACAAACATAAATTGCACAAGGACGCACATCCAGACCCGGAACAATCATTTGCAGGCCATACAAATACTTGTTCCGTGCGGCATTCGAACCCGCGGCCCCCAGCACAGCAACTTCATTGCTAAGCCACTGCGCCACGGAGCCGTCAAAATTACACTTTCGAAATTACACTAACAATTTCATAGGTGTCGACGATAATTGAAGCTGGGTTCCCGCGTACTATTAAATTAACACCAAACCCGTAGCCCCTGAAATACCACAGCTCTTAAACATTTACTGTTGTAGATTCGGTATCAGATAGTTTCGCTATGCTGATATAGATCAATAATATAGACCTAGTGATACGCCGAAATTAAATTGTAAAAACAAATCTTCTTAAAGCTGTATACGATTTCCCATTCACTCCCCTGACAGTCGTTCAGTACGTACCTAAAATGGTTGTATGAATAAACGATGCGCTGTTTGAACAGGACAATGTAAGCCAAGTTGCGCTGGCAAAAAGAAACTGACTTCGCACCCCTCCCGCTTGCGCGCGAACGGTAGCCATGTAGCATTCCTTTTGTTGTGTTGATCGATGTACAACTGTTTTATGTTGGTATTTAGAAAATAAGTCCTCTGTGTGTCTAAACTTTGTTTGAAGTCTTTGTTTATATGATATAAATTAAATGCTCATACATCCCTTTAAAATATATACAAATCACACATGACACATGATAGGTATAGATCACATGATAGCTACAGACGTTCCCATACATAATATGCTATTTTAATCACTGCTTCTAGTATTTACGTCATAATGTTAATTTAAAAAAAAACCATTAGATCCAGAAAACGTTTGTAATGTAATTAATAAACATTGCACGATCAACGAAATAACACAACACGTTCAAACAGTGTATCTATCCAGAGCGAACCACACAAGGCACCGTTAAAAAGAAGGGTAAAAATAGAAAATGGCGCTTCCTCTCGCCGTCACCGCCAGAATGGCGGGCAACGGTCGGTTTTATTTTTCCGTACTCTTCCGCCCCTGTCTCCTCTTTTCTGAACATTTTTAAATTCTCTGTTAGGCTTGAGTTTTGCTTACTTTTCGTCGTTGATTAATTCGGTGGCCGGTGTCCCGCAGCGACGCTCCTGCCGCTTGATTGCGCCATCTTTTTTTGTTAACCGTTTTTTTTTTCTATGCTTTTTAATTTTAAATCTGTTCGGAATTTTCGATCGTCTTGCAATTTAACATCGTGTGTTTCAATTTTGTCTATACAATGAGTGTGGATTTGAGGATTTAAAAAATACTGTTTTTGAATTAAATGAAATATAGACAACTTACTGCGACAAAATAAAATATTAATTTTGACAGATATGTCTGTATGATTTCTACGCTTTGCTAAGATACGTACCATTTTTATTTAGCTCGGTTTTGATATTTTTGTTCTTGAATCATTTTTATTCGTCTGTCTCCGGATTTTGTTTACTTACGAAGTTGTAATAATGTAGAGTTCAAATGCTAAATAAGGGTAGTAGTATTATTTCCATGTTTAATTACGTCTTTAATTTTCTAATGCTGTCCATTTAGAAATTCTCCGTAATCAAGTCAATTACCATAAAGGCTAGATAGCTGTGATAAATTTGAATGGAAATACGTCTATTTACAAAGGATCACGGCTAGGAAACGATCAATTTGCATTATAACCGGGGTGTTATTAAGCATTATAATATTTCCTTTGATGTCTTGGATCAAACTAGTCTTAATTAAGATTAAGAGAGTATTTTGCACAGATAATATTTGCTTTAGAGTTTAAGCTATCTTTTTTATTTTTAAATGTAAACGTCTAATACTAATAATGATGTTCTTCTAGCCGATTTATTTAAAAGAAGAAGAAAGCGATGCGGCTCAGGTGATGGTAAGCGGGCACGATGTTTATATCCGCAACACAAAAGGACGCGGATCATTCGGATTATGAGCGCGAATACGATTTCTCAATTTTATTAAAAATAATCAACTGAACGGGTTATATTATAGTGTGTCCGATAAGCAGACCTAAAAATCTAGCTACTTATGTTCTTATATTTGCACTAATATTGGCTCTCACTGTGAAATAAACTCGGAATCCTACCTAAGCTTGAATACTAAACCACGCATTGGATAGAAAACATATATTGTATATAACATAATATGTATTCTATCCAAAATGATTTTGTAATTTTAAATGGAAGTGTATTAACTTTTTAAGAATCAAACCTTATATTTTGGTTTCTTGAAGTAATTATATTGACTTAAAGAATGGTAACCGACCTGGAGAAAAACAACGTAGACTACGTTGCAAGGAAGAGGTAATAAACTAGATTATTTATTTTGGTGTAGCTGTTGGTTTACATATATGATCTATGCTGGTGTTATCTTAAGAGAAATATGCCTTCAATATAGATAATTTCGATACTAATTACTTATTTTCATTAAAAAAAAAACTCACCCAGTCTTTTAGAAATTTCTGAATTGTGCATCTTTGGGTTATCTTGCGCAATTTTCCTCCTCTGCAGCCTCGACCACACCATAAACGCGTTCATGGGCCTCTTGATATGTTCCTCTTGAGTCTTTTTCTGCTGCGTCTGGCCGTTCATGGCGATTCCACCCATTGTCCCGATGGCGCCCATCGCGGACATGTGGCTCATGGGGAAATGGCCCATTGTGCCCCCATAGCCTCCGCGATCGCACATCGCACCAGCGGCACTGAAATAATAAATTAAATTACTTCTTGTATTGTGAAAATGTATGAAATATGAAGTAAGGACTTTTTAAGCTTTCAAGATGATTATAAAACACAGCCTTTAAGAGACCCACAGACTTAAGTTTCCTTTAATGTTATAGAAGATAAACGTCTTTTTAATTAAAATTAACTATTATATACTAACTAACTGACATAAATTCTTTATGGACTATCACAAGTCCACTGCTGAACATAGACCTCCCCCAGAGGTTGCCTCGTAGGGGGGATACTTGCCATAGTTACCACGCGTGTCAAGCGAGTCAGCGATCGCTTTTTAACCGACTTCAAAAAAAGGAGGAAGTACTCAATTCGATTCTATTTTTTATCTGTGTTAACTCAGAACTTTTTTCTAGGCGAAGCGATTTTGATGATTATTTTTTATTTGACAGCTGGTGCGTCTCTTGTAGTCCAATATAATTATTTATTGATCAAGGTTTGACCACTAGTTTTTGATTTATCCTCAATAATGCGTATTTAATTGACTTCGACTACATTGATGGTGTTCTCATTATACATTGATCCTGTTCTCATTTTATTTATATTGAAGTCGATGTTTTAGGAAATTTTTAATTTTACCACTTGTAGATATTACTTTGAAGTGTTATCAGGTGCCGCTGGTCATTTCCTGTTCCATTTCCCACTGTCACCTCTAACCATACCCACGGGATGATATGGGGTAGTGGATACCCTATCGCCGTCACTACATACCAACATAAAATGGCAGTCTAGTCTAATTGAAGCCTAGATGTAGTCTACATTATTTTTCCTTTTTAGTACTCATAATATTTTTGGTTCTTAAATATTTTTTAAAAACTAAAAATATTAATCGTGGGTATCGTAAGACATGAGAGAAGGAAACGAATCAGTATATGGAAAGTAGCACCTTTCTAATAACAAATAGAAAATAAAAAACTGCGGTCGCCAACTTCAGTGCCAAGCGTGGTAAATATTCCCCTTGTGAGGGAGATGCCTCTCCATAGGGAGGCTTATGTTCAGCTTTGATAGGCTGGAATGAATGAATGAAAAAAAAACTAAGCGGTAAAGCCAAGCTGGATTGTATCATGGCTGCATGATCAATGAGCCGATTCGACCAGAGAAGGAACATATTCTCACAGAATACCAGCGTGAAATAGCAGCATAATTCTGCTGTGTTTGTTATGATAAATGTCGGGAATCTGGAACCATTTTATTGTTAGCGAGGCATTCCATTTCAGTCCTCAGAACGCATCAGCATTTTAGTTTTTAATCGAGGACAGATGTAGGTGTCTATGGGCCGTAGCATCCACATACCATTAGGTGGATTTTGCGCTTATTTTTCACCTGTGTAGAATACCAACGTAAAATAGCAGCTTAATGCTGCTGTGTTTCGTATGGTGAGTGTAGAGAACCGGAGACCCTTTTTACTGGACAAGAGGCATTCCGTCTTAGTCCTCACGGGTGACAACGCATCTGCATTTTGATTCGTAGTCGAGGATAAATGTAGATGTATATGGGCCACAGCAACCACTTACCATCAGGTGGACTGTGTGCTCGTTTGTCACCCTTATCTTATAAAAAAAAAAATATCTAATTATTGCCAAGATCTTAGTGAAAATAATTTATTTTCTAATAAATTATTTCAATTAATAATTAATTATTAGGGTTTGTCTTATTCATCACGTTTGACAGGCGTATTGACAATCGCAGTAGGTACCAGAAGTCTCACACATTTGTCCCAGACGATATCCAGACCGGTGGCGAGGAGCAGGGTCCTCGCCACCGGTCTGGATATTTTTGGATATTAGGTAGAAATTTAGCTTACGTCTAGCGTAAACAATATTGTAAAACCGCCATTGGTGGCAAGAAATAAGATTTCAAATTATTTCTTCAATGGCCATTCACATAAGGAAATGTTTAAGAACGCACTTACATTTACGAGCCACTGGTTAGATTTTTAATAATTCACAAATTTCGAGATTAAAACGTAGCATTTTAATTAGCCTAAAAATATTACACGCATCTCCCCAACGGTGTCACTTTCATTGTTAAATACCCTTCACACGTGCGTAACAACTGCGACTTTTAATACTCCAGCGACAATTATAGTGTGCATAGAAGCGGAAAATATTAATACATCGCGCATAAGAAAGAGGGCGCTTTTTTAAATTGGCTGCTTATAACCGATCCCACGCTTGTTTCTGATTGGCTGAAAGCCCCTTGTAAGGATTTAGAATTGAAGTCTTATTCTAATTTCGTTAAGTAAGTTGGCTTTTTGAGGTTTCCTAATGCGAAAAAACGTAAAGTGTCTCTTTAACGATGGATTATAAAATTCAAGACGAAAAAATCTCTGTACTAATTGAGCGTAGGGATAAGCGTCCGGATGTTTTAGAAATTATTCAGACTTAATTAATATATCTAATATATATAATAATCAGGCGTTACTTTGCGGAAGTCCATTATATTAAAGTAACTATTTATATGTATATATATTAAAGTATTAAAGTTTCATATACTTATATTAAAGTAACTAGGAAAGACACACCATATTATTATACATATACTGACGACAATACATATTATTATACAATACGTATTGTCCTCAGTGGTGTGTCTTTCCTGGTGTAGTAGTGTTGGGAGTAGTGGTGCTGGGATTAGTGGTGACGGGGATAGTGCACGCAATTGAGGGAGGGCGGGAGGTGCTCTTCATACTAGGTAAGACACATCATTTTATTTTATCGAGCGGATGTACGCAAAGTAATTTTTTGTCAACTTTAATATTCAGACTTAGCCTTATACACCATGAATAAATCGTATACATTTAAGTTTGGTTGCATCTAGTTGTAGCCGGCTATACCTAGTTGTAATTACATTTCGACTTAGAGTCGTATGAAAAGTACACTGGCAGAAAGACACTCAATCTGGTGGCATAGCTTTGCTAATGCGGCAGCTGCACATAAGACCTACCATTTTATTCATATGAGAGGTGTGTCAGGAACGTGCGAAATGGCAGTTCGTAGTCTCTGCCTACAACTTTGGATGACTGGCGAGAGCGTTCGACCTTTGCCGACACCAAAGAAATTGTTAATTGCAATGATTAATGCCCGGTAGTGTTTGTAGGCTTTAACTTCACTAACTTTATCGTTTGTTTCAGATATGCTCAAAAAGTTTTTAGTGTAAGATACCACGTCTCGGTAGATTCATGTACATATTGCTGCCGCCAAATAGAAGAGCTGGCACTGCTGTATTCTTATCTGAAGGATATAGGGAGCCAGTATAAGAACACGCTGTGAGGCGTTCTATTTTATTCCTCAGAGGTAGCAACGCATCTGTCATCAGTCTTCTGCTTAAAGTTGTTTGCAGGTGTTGGACTAAAATGCAGTTTCCACTTACCATCAGGTGGATCGTGAGTTTGTTTTTAACTTCAGTTTTATAATAAACTATCTGGTGTCGTGCGCGTTGCTGTCGCAAAAGAAATAATTGTGGAAATATTATTTTATGCCGTGTAGTGGCGGTCAAGAATATCCACTACCCCATATCCTCCCGTGGGTGTCGTAAAAGGCGACAAAGGGAAACAGGCAGGAGATGGGCAGCAGCATCTTCCTGATAATAGCCAAATTACAATAAAAAAACTGCGGTTGCCAACCCGCTCGCCAAGCGTGGCAACTATGGCAAATACCCCCCTATGAATGGCAGTAACAAAAAAACGGCCCCCAGTCCCCGGCGGCCCCGCTATTCCTGGCTACGGTGGCGACCATGGTAACGGCGGGGCAGGGGGTGCTAAGAATCTCCGGTGGAGGTTCGGTTGCCACCTTAGACGACTCGACCTGGCAACGTACAACGCACGCACCCTGAGGACTGACGAGAAGATCGTGGAGCTGGAAGAAGAGATAGACAAGTTGCGCTGGCATATTATAGGATTATCCGAAGTCCGAAGAGAGGGGGAGGACACGGTAATCCTCGAATCCGGCAACTTGCTCTATCACCGGGAGGGCGACCATCTGTCCCAAGGAGGTGTCGGATTTATCGTCCACAAGTCTCTCGTTAACAACGTTGTAAAGATCGGGAGTGTGTCGACGAGGGTTGCGTACCTTATACTCAGAATCACCAAACGGTATTCGCTGAAGGTCATACAGGTTTACGTACCAACCTCGGCACACCCCGATGAGGAGGTGGAGGAAATGTATGAGGATATCTCTAGAGCCATGCATTCCTCCAAAACCCAATATACGGTGTTAATGGGAGACTCCAATGCAAAACTAGGCACAAGAGAGAACGGTGAGCTGAAAGTAGGGAAATTTGGAATAGGGCAACGGAACCCAAGGGGCCAGCAGCTGGCCGACTTTATGGAGAAAGAGGGCCTCTTTATGATGAACTCTTTCTTCCAGAAGCGGCCCCACAGGAAGTGGACCTGGTCGATCCCCGACGGTTCCACAAAAAATGAGATTGACTTCATTATGACGACCAGACGACAACTGTTCAGTGATGTCTCCGTGATCGCAAGGGTGAAAACTGGTAGCGATCACCGAATGGTTAGAGGCACACTGAACCTAAACGTTAAGTTGGAGAGGTCTCGTCTAATGAAGTCAACGCTCCGTCCCCCTCGTGCTCTGTTTCAAAGTCCCGAAACCTTTCAGCTCGAGTTACAAAACCGTTTTCAGTGCCTGGAAGACTGCAATGAAGTGGACGATATGAATGACAAGCTCGTGGAAACTGTCCATGCGGTCGGAGCGAAGTTCTGCAAGACCCGCCGCAGAAGAACACAAATACTCTCCGATCACACTCTTAATCTCATGGCTGTTAGACGGGAGATGAAGCTACATTCTTCAACAGACTTGACAGCATACAGGCATCTGAACAGACAGATCTCCAAATGCATGCGGCGGGACTTACGCAACTTCAATACAGCTCGTATTGAAGAAGCGATCGAGCGGAACCAAGGCTCCAAAATCTTTGCCAGAGATCTGTCTGCCA